GGCTCTGATGAGTGATAAGGGGCGGGCCTGGCTAGTGCACCCGGTTGGTTGAGGGTGGCAGCTGGGGCAGAGAGGCCTGCAGCACACCTTGGGGAAGCGTTCCCGGTACACATGGTTCATCATCACAATCTCGTTGTCGAAGGTTCCAGATGTGCGTCCAGGGCTGAAAGCAAGACACGGGGGTGAGGGACACCAAGGGGCCTGACGGGTGGAGGGGCCCTAGCCCAAGCCTACCTGAGGCTGCGTGAGCGTGGGCGCAGGCGCGGGGAGCGGCCTCCATCCTCTTCCACCACGCTCTCTGAGCTGCGGAAGTGCTTGGACAGGAAGCGCAGCTCGTCTGCTGTGGGCTGGAAGGGAAGCTGGTGGAGACGCTCCCGGGAAGACGAGCTCGACTGGTACAAAGAAGGTCAGGGTCATGGCTGGACTCAGCACCCCAAGATCGCCCCCTGCCAAGGACCGCTGAAGGCTCCAGCCCACTGCCCACTGCGAGCCCCACACGCCATGCCACAAAAGGGCGTGTGTCCACCCCAGTCTACCCCCATCCACCTGCCCAGAGCAGCTGTCAGTACCGACACGGTGGAGCTGGGAGTGTTGGTTCCATAGCCGGAGGACGGGAGAGAAGCAAGCGACCATCTTCTGCCATCAGCCCTGGAGAGGGACAGGGGCGGATAGAAAGACAGCCTGGCGGCCATTTGCAGCAGGCTGTGCGAGCGGATTCCCATTTTCTGGATCAAGGAGCCAGCAGCAGGCAGCCAGGCCCAGGGTACCATCCTCCAGGAAGCCCTCCTTCCTGATGCAGGTGCCACCTAGGCTTTGGTTGTCAGGATCCGGCCCCCAACAACCCAAGGACACTCCAAAGGAGAGGCTTCAGCCCCCAGATGCAGGGTGCTCGCTCAATACTTGGTGAAACTGAAGGCCCTGGGCACACATGTTAGCTCTTGGTTAGTGAACAGCGAGGCTGGCAGCGAGTTAGCAATTTCTGAGTAGGTTGCAGCCCCGTCCTTCACAGGACTGCGAATTACCTGTCACCATGAGAGAGGTGGCTATGGAGGGCCATGTGTTTGCCAGGGCAGAAGCCACAGGGAGAAATCACCAGAACCGGGCGGGAAGGGGTCAAAAGAGGAGGAAACATCAATGAGGGGCAGGTCTGGCTCTGTGAGGGTACAGCTCTGTGAGGAGGCCAGGCACTCACCTCCGGGCAAAGGGGAAGCTGACAGCTGCTGCGGCCCAGTTCCGAGGACTGTCCAAGGGGCTGTTACCTGCTGGTGGGAGTGGGGACTGAGTCAGGGTGGAGCTAGGACGCAGGACCCGGCCACCTGCCTGGATCTCCCCACTCACCTGTTGGGACAGACAGCGGTGACAGCGGCCTGGAGACAGTGGGTGAGGGTGTCCCCACAACTAGGCTCTTTCGGTTGCCACTTCGGCAGCTGTGGAGGGATGACAGGTTAGAGGGCAACCTTGAGGGAGCAGGGACCAATGCATCCCGCTGTGCAGCCAGCTGCAGTGCGCTCAGGATGGCTGCAAGTTGGGTGAGACCAACCGCTACCACTCCTGCATAGGTCCTTTTAAGGGTTTTTAGCAGGGGGTTCTAGGACCCACTGGGGTCCTAAGAAAACATCTCCCCCCCTTTTTTTAGGCTGGCCTTGAACTCCCAGAGATCCACCTGCCTCTGCCTCCCTAGTGCTGGGATTAAAGGCTTGCGCCACCACCGCCCGGCTAACATCCCATTTTTGTTTTTCAAAATGAGATAGCCCTGGCTGTCCTCCAAATGTGCTCTGTAGACCAGGCTGGCCTCGAGCTCATAAAGATCCACCTGCCTGCCTCTGCCTCCTTGAGTGTTGGGATTAAAGGTGTGTGCCAACTTGCCCGGCTCAAACATCTCTTATTTTTGAGTCAGAGTCTCACTCAGCAAAGGCTGGCCTTGGGACTCAGAGGGTGACGTCCTGGGACAACACACGGGGAACAGCCTGTTCTGGTCTCCTTCCATCCTTGGTCCACTGATGACATGGTGGGAAGCCCATCCAGTTTCATGCGGACACTGGCACATGACCAGGACACACTGACAGACTTCCCAGCCTTGGCCATGCATCTTACGCCATGACCCCTGCCAGGCACTCTGAGAGTCAGGCCAGGGAGACAGGCCATGCTCCTGAGCCATGGCTGTGGGAAGCAGGTACCCCTCTATCCCTAAAGCTGCTGTTCCCACCTTCCCAGGATCCCAAATTCTCTCTGCATCACAGGCCAGCGTGGGCTACATACAACACAAAGCCAAAGTCAGCATGTGACTCTCAGGCTGGTTGTCCATGTTTTAACCCCTGCCCAACTCTTCTCTCCTCTGATGCCGTGTCTGTTTGGGCCACCCGTCCTGACCCCAGCCCAGGCCGCTGGGCCCTGAGCCTGGCCTCCACCTCTGCAGAGCTGGAGACACTAGGTCCTTGCCCTCCTCCCAGCCCCCTACAGTCACCCAGCAACAGCGGCTCTGACAGACGACAAGGAGAGCAGCCCACACAACCCTCCACCAACGCAGCTCTGCAGAAGTGTCAGAGAGGGAGCAACAGGCGGGGCCTTGAGGCAGGGAGGGTTTGGGGTGATGAGGGGCACAGCTTGCGGGTTGAGCGGCAGGAGTGTGACAGGGAGTTGGGCCCAGCTTGGATGCTGATGTGGGAGCCTCTGTTTCCCCATCGGGACACCCAAAGGTTCACAGAACCATTTCACCCTGTGAAAACAGCCTTAGAGGGACACAGGCTCTCAGAGCCTGCGGCAGGAGGCCCCACCCCCCAGACTCAGCTAAGCCACAGGTGTGGAACTCAGCAGTAGTAATCGGCCCTGAGTTGGGGGACCCACCAACTGTGCCTGCTCCCCACTCAGGGAAGCAGGGCTGCGGATATCAAAAGTGGGAGGAATTGCCCCTGGGCTGAGGTGTGGGTGCAGAAGCGGAACCCAAAGGTCCCTGCAGGACTTCCTGCGCCCCCCCCCCCTCTGCACACGACACACAGGCAGCCACACCCTCTCTGCCTCCAGCTGCCCCCACGTCCTGCAGGGAGGCCAATGAGATTGGTTGGCTCCTCTCCCTCATGCTTACAGGCCTTGCCTTGAAAACAACCTGGGATCCTGGGATCATCCCACCTGAGCACACGTTAAAGGACTGTTTACACATCTCCTTGTATGCCAGTTCTAATAGGCCCGTAAACCAAGCAGGGCACCATAGTATCTCCGGGAACAACCGAAGCTTTGGATTCAATACTTAGGGTCCTTACAAACCAGACTTTGCCTATCTACACAAACCTAAACACAGAGAAATCCAAACACAGAGATGCTGGGTGACTCCCTGGGGTCACACAGCATGGTGATAGCTAAGCTGCAATAGTGCCTGGGTCTGGATAAGGAATCACCTCTCACTTGGCCTGTACCTTGAGGAGGAGGACCTGGGCCGAGGAGAAGACAGGCATGCCTTGACTGCAGACCCGCCACCCACTAGTCAGCCAGGGCCATGAGCATTTGCATCTGCGCCGTTTCCGCTGAGCGCTCAGTACAGACCGCTTCATTCTTCTCAAATTCCTCGCTTTGCGCAGCCCCAAGTTCGGGTTCGAATCCCGGGCGTCCCCAGCTGGACCCAACACTCCAAGCTGCCCCTACCTTTTGGAACGCTGTAGCAGCGCACCCTTGGCCAAGCGGCTGCGGTGTCCGGGAGCCGCCACCGCCGTCCAGTAGCTAGGGTCCGACATTCTGCCGCCCCCCGCCCGCCGGGGCCTCGGCCGGATAGGCCGGATTCGGCCTGAGCCCCGCGGAGCGGCCCGGCGGCCGCGGGCAATCAGGAGCGCGCGCGGCCCGCAAGGAGGAAGCGCTGCCGGGAGCCCCGCCCAGCCAAGGGGCGGAGCACGAGGGGCGTGGCGTCGCTATGGAAGATGGTGGCGGGGCGGGGCGTTGCCAGGGCCCGCCCCTAGAGAACCTTCACTTCTACGGTTCTGCCGGAAGCGCTGGAAGGGAGCGTAGTTAGAACCCGCATGTGGCGCCCGGCAACGCGAGGGCCTTTACGGATGGCCAGGGCGTTGCTAGGGTTCTGGAGCGAATGTGGACGTTGCTATGAACCCCAGCATCACAGGCAAGACTTTGCTAATAGTCTGAACGGAGGGGGCGTGGTTACCTGTCTGTTGCTAGGGCTCTGCGTAGCAAGGGCGGGGCGTTACTATGGACCTCAGCAACACTGGCAGGCCGTTGCCATGGTTCCAGGTGTGTGGGGGGAAGGGGCTCTAGGATGAGAGTGGGACCTTAGCAGCAAGAGCAGAATGTTGCTAGGGTTCTGAGCAGATGGGGCGGGACGTTAAGCCCTGTGCCATCACGGGCGTTGTTTTGGCAATTACCAGAAGAGGCGGGGCGTTGCTAGGGCCCGGGTAGCGGGGTGGGTCGTAGGCGGTACTGGTGCTGCTGCGACGGGTCTGTCCCTGTCCCTGGGGCGTCAGCCCAGAGCTGACCCTTTCTTTCCCATCTGTAAAACCCCTGCGGTGAATGTGGCGTGGTGCCAACAGACTCTGCGTGCATGGCCATGAAAGCCATTACCAAAGGTAAGTAGCATACACTGAATTACCAAAGGAATCTGTCCTTCTCCCCTAGGACCTAATTAGTCATTGGCGGTCATTCTGATAGCACTCGGCTCCCTGAACCGTTAGACATTTTGTAGCCCAGCCTTGCTGGGATTTGAAGCCCAGACCCCCATATCTTGGACAAGAAGAAACAGAGGCACAGGAGCCTAAGGTGTCCCCAGTCCATCCCTCTTCTCAAGTCGCCCCCTGACATTGCCACACCAGGTGTCCCCACCCTTGCTGACTAGAGCACAAATCCATATCCACTCATTCATAAACATTTATTGAACACCTACATTGGCCTGCCTCTGGGACATGTAGGGGTAACCTGGGGGGTGGTCTTTGGTTTCAGATGGGAGAGAGAATAAACAGGAAACAAATGAAGAAATTCAGAATAATTTCAAACAAAGAAGGGCTGTAGGATAGAAGACCTGGGCCCGTTCTCAGCACTTTATCACCCTTGGGATTGGCGGCACGCACCTGTCTTCACAGAAGGTGAGAGGGAAGACTGGAGCTGAACTCCTTCCAGGAACAGACGCTGAGGACCACATCATGGTAGCCCTGAGAGAAACGGGTGAGCTACAGCACACACGTGCTTTGAGTCCCAGGGACAGGCCCTGCAGGGGCTAGGTGTGACAAAGAGGATTACAATGGCTACTTGTGACTCTGGGTATCAGGTCTAGATCCCCTACAAAAGACTTAGAGCCTCCTGACTCTGAGGACCCAAATGGGGACAGAGGCATGGTTCTCATAGGCTTCCAGTCCAGGAAGAGCCACCCACCTACCATTGTGCCCTGGGATACTCTGCCACAGCTATCCCCTTGACTTTAGTCCCTAAACCCTGCCCGTCCATGCTCCCCCTGGCCTGTTTCCCACTCTGGAGAACTTTGCTATGCTAATGCGGAGTGTCTGTCTGGAGGGAGAGATTGATGCACAGGACACCCTGCTCATACTCACCCCACAGCTCCCGCTCACACTCACCCCACAGCCTCCCGTTCACACTCACCCACAGCCTCCCGCTCACACTCACCCCACAGCCTCCCGCTCACACTCACCCCACAGCCTCCCGCTCACTCACTCACAGCCTCCCGCTCACTCACCCACAGCCTCCCGCTCACACTCACCCCACAGCCTCCCGTTCACATTCACCCACAGCCTCCCACTCACACTCACCCACAGCCTCCCGCTCACACTCACCCCACAGCCTCCCGCTCACACTCACCCCACAGCTCCCGCTCACACTCACCCACAGCCTCCCGCTCACACTCACCCACAGCCTCCCTATGGCTGATACACAGGATGCCCTGCTCACACTCACCCCACAGCTCCCCGCGCACACCCCACAGCTCCCTAGGGCTTTCCCAGCAATGCTCTTGGACAGGGGCTAATGCCACCATGACCAGCTCTGTGACCTTGGCATTGCCTTTCTGCTGCTGCAGTTAAATGACAAAGGCTTAGGTGCGTCTTACTCTGACCAAGCCATTCTGTTGCCTCTTCCCCTATGCCACAGGGTGTGGCCCCTGTCCCCCACAGGTAAGTCTATGTTCCATCTGTGCTAGGCCCTGACGGACAACAGAGCCCTCCACCTGCTTCCCATTCGTTCACCAGAGCATCAAATAAACGTCTGCTGTATACCTGCCCTGAGCATACAGTGTGAGCAGAAAGATTCAGGCCAAGCCTGTGAGGGTCTCAAAGTTCTGAAGGAAATGAACACCCAGTAATCACACAGGAAGATGGGCACGCAGCAGGGTTTACCCCTCCCACCAACACTAGTGAGGCGAGGTCAGGCTGGCCTGCAACCTAAACTGTACAAAAAAAAAAAACAAAAAAAGTGCGCTCTCTCTCTCTTGGGGGCTGGAAAGATGGCTCAGCAGTTAAGAGCATTGCCTGCTCTTCCAAAGGTCCTGAGTTCAATTCCCAGCAACCACATGGTGGCTCACAACCATCTGTAATGAGGTCTGGTGCCCTCTTCTGGACTACAGGCATACACAGAGACAGAAAGGTATATACATAATAAATAAATATTTAAAAACAAACAAAAAGCTCTCTCACCAGGTGGTGGCTGCACACGCCTTTAATCCCAGCCAGCACTTGGAAGGCAGAGGCAAGAGGATCTCTGTGAGTTCAAGGCCAGCCAGAGCTACACAGAGAAGCCCTGTAACGAGTTAAAAGTCTCAAAAAACAAACAAACAAAACAACAAACAAATCAAATCCTCTGTCTCAAAAAAACCAAGGACCAGAGGTGTGCCTCAAGAGTGGAGCCCCTGCCTAGGATCCCACAGTGAGGGGCCGGGGGCGTGGCTCAGTGGTGGAGCCATGGAAACCAGCCCTGATGGGGTCCAGTTTAGGGAGTTGGTTATGGAAGGATGGAGTACACGTGAAATGTCTCCATTTCAGACGCCAGGGAGGCCTTCAAACCTAAGAGGGCAGAGCTCTGAACAGGCCGTGGCAAGTGCAAAAGACCTGGGACCTTAGGGATCGTGGGACACTGGAGGACTTCTTCCTCTCGTGCCTGGATCAGAAGGGCTCATACTGAGGTGCGAATGGTTGCCAGACAAATCAGATTCATCCGGGTCCAGTACGGCGAGGGAAGCTGAGGCCCTGTGTGACTTCCGGCGAAGTGGTTCTGCTGCCCTCTGGTGGTGACCGTGGCTACCTGGTCCCCATAGAGCCTCCACCAGTTCCTCCAGGTAAAACCTGTTCTGTCACAGGCGTCTACAGCCCAGGGCCCTCCCTCTGGTCTGCCCTCCCCGGGTTCGGAGTCAAGGGCTCAGAGATGCTCTGGTCTCACACTGCCTCCCAGGATGCCCCTGGGCCTCCTCCACCTACTCCTCAGTAAGTGTGGTGACAGCAGTCCCTGCCTCCCCTGGGCAAACACGACCAGCTCCAGCACACTAGCTTCCACCAGAAGTTCTAGACCCCCACGGCCTCTATTCTCCACCCCACCCGGTCCCAGCCGCCTGGGGCTAACCTTCACCAAACCCGGCCAACCTCATCTCCCCAGGGGTCAGCGCCTGAACACAGCTCGTTCGTCATTAGTCAGCCATTCCCTGGCCACCTCCTCCGGCCAACTGAGAAGCCTCTGAGGGAGATGTTATTCTAGTTCACACCTACCGACTTTTTACCGGGAGTGCTGGCCGGTGCCTAGACAGTGTTTGCCGAGTAAATGAAGGTGACCCCATTCATTGTCTGGAATTTAGTGTTCTGTGTATTCCCCATTCAAAATTTACAGGGTGTGCTCATTCATAGTTTGATGTAATGACTCCCCGGTAAGTTAAGGCTTTTGACATTCAGAGGGGTAAGCCTCTGAAGCCCAGCAGTCACCGAGGGTAAGGTGTGGTGGCCAAGCTGGCCCCACTTACGGCCTCAGAACAGGCCTGTTTTTGAGCCTCAGTTTCCTCAGCTGGGAAACATGGTCAGGGCAGAGTCGGGCCCCAGTCGGTGAACTGTTTCTTTTCGGTCTAGGGCGGCCTATTTGGGCTTGTGTGCGACCAGAGGGAGGCGTTTCCGGTGGGTCCCGAGGTCACAACCTGGCAGGGCCCTGGGAATCCAGCACCTGTCTCGGAAGTTGTTGGGCTCAAGTTCTGGCGTCGCCTTGGACACCTGCCCAGCGCCAGCCTGCAGCTGGGCGCTCCCGCGGGGTCCGGGATCGGGGAGGTACTGACGCTAAGGCCTCGGGTAGTCAGGGGTGTGAAGGCCCGAGCGGAGGGCGCGCGAGCGGGGCGGCGCCACTCACCTCCAGGGCTGCAGGCCCAGCGACGGGCTGCACGGGCTGCACGGGCTGCCGGGGCTCAGCAAGCATGGGCTCTGGCTGCTCGGCGACAGACTGCAAGACAGAGGCTGGCGGTGACCCCGCGGCGACCCGGCGTGACCCCCGCGGGCTCCCGGGAGCCGCACCGCGGGGCTCAGGCCTCGGTACTCACTCGAGCGTCAGCGCCGGGATCAGCAATTTCTCCCTGCGGGACTTCATGGCGGCACCGCGGGAACCGACGCCCGGTGGTACCGGACGCGAGCAAACGCGCGGGGACTACGGAGTGAGGGACGCTCACACCGGCGGCTGTCGGGGGCGGGGCCACGGGTCGAGGGGCGGGGCCTGGGCGGGGCAGCAGGTGGGATGAGGGGTGGGACTATTGGCGGGACGGAGAAGTTGACCGGCCGGACTAAAGGCCCCCGGAGCTGGCAGGGGCGGGGCTAGAGCTGTGGGTGGGCCTATGTGTTGAAGGCGGGGTCATGGGAGGGGCTATGGGTGCCGAGCCGAGCCCGGCTTCTGGGGGCAGTGGTATGGGAGTGGGGCGGGACATCTGTTGTGTAGGCAAGGCTATGGGGTGCGGGGTGGAGCTATGGGATGTAGAGTGGGGCTTCCGTGGAGAACCGCATATTCTAAAGAGGGCGGGGCCTAGTGTCGCATAGCTGGGTATGACTTGTGGTCGGTGGGGCGGGAGGGGGGCTCACAATGTGTTCGATGGGCGGGGCGTATTAAAGCAATTTGCAGGACTCGAGGCGGGGCCTCTGGGTGGGCGTGGCCACTGGACGGGCTCTTGGAGGCGGGACACCAAAGAACTGAGTTGGGGGGTGGGGACAGAGGCGGAGCCTCTCACGGTGGGGCGGGGCTGAGCACCAGAAGACGGAGGGCGTGCAAGCGCAAGGTAGCCAGCGGGACCAGCACTCTATTGTGGGGGTAGGGGAGTAGAGGGTGTTGGGGGCTGCAATCCTAACCTCCTTGGCCAGGTCCTGGGACATTCAGTCCGCCCAGCCATGGGTTGGAAGGGAAGGCGACCTGGGCCCGGCGGACCGCGACCCCCTCACCCGGATCGCTTTGGCTTGTCGCTTCCCATCGCCGCTCTCCCACAGACCTGGTCCCTGACAGCCCTCGGCGGGGACACACATAGCACGGGTGATGTAGGGTTGGCAACTTCCCGAGGACTCTGGCCCTCACTTCACCCTCGAGATCCGTTCACTGCGCTCCTCCCACCTCCCCTCCCCCGGTCCCTCAAAGCGCACTCAGGGCAAGGTCCGACCCCGCCCCAGCAAAGCCATAGTGCGTTTGACTTGGGGTCATTTGAGGCTTCATTCAGAACCCAAGTCTCCTCCTCTACCTCAGCCAGCTCCCCCTCCACTGCCAGGTACCACCCCAATGCCTTTGCCCACGCCGTTCCCTCTAGAAGGCTATTGTCCCCACAGTGACTCCCACCTCACCGCTCATCCTCTCCAAGATCAAGCCTCATCTCCTCCAAGTGAAGGCCCACCGCCTGTCTCTTTCTGTCTAATTTCCCTGAGCACACACATTTCATGGTTTGTGTTCCCATTAAGAACCCGAGGGAGGGTGTCCAGCACAAAAAGACACGGAGCTTCTTAGACCCCAATTGAAGCACACGCAGCCTGCAAAGGTGGGGTGTCCAGAGCTGTTTGCTCTCAGTGAACAGGAGGTAAGCCCCACCCCATCTGTAAACCCAGGACACACAGAACAAAATGTTCTTTGTGCTGCGGATCTCCCCAGATGATGCCAGCCCCACAGATTCTGTTGGCGGGCCCCGAAAGGAAGCAAGTCTCACTGAGGTACACAAGCCCATTCCAATGTACTTGGGCTAGAGGTAATATTTCATAACTTTTCCCTCAGTGCTAAGAATTAAATCTTTTTCTTTTTTCTTTTAAATAATTTATTTAAATCATTGGTGTGAAGGTGTCAGATCCCCTGGCACTGGCGTTACAGACAGTTGTGAGCTGCCTTGTGGTTGCTGGGAACTGAACCCAGGTCCTCTGGAAGAACAGCCAGAGCACCTAACCATTGAGCCATTTCTCCAATCCCCTTTTGCTTTTTCTACATTTATTTATTTAGTGTCTCTGCACACACTTGGAGGTCCAAAGACAACTTGGGGATTGCTTTCGGTGCCAAGCACTATAACAAATGCATTACCCATTGAGCAATCTGGAGAGTCGGTGACCTTAGAATCTGTGACAATGGACTTAAACTCTGCAGAGAATGGTATATATATATATATATATATGTCTCATGTGGCTCAGGTGCCTCTCACAGGGAGGTGCCATGATGCTGTGCTTAGGCTGGATCCCAAGCTGAGAGGATTCTTTTATAAGAAAGGAGGAAGAGGCTGGAGAGAGGCCCAGTGGTTGGAGGGATGGTTGTTCATGGTGAGGAACAGAGTTCGGATCCCTAGAACCCACCAGTGACCCAGCCTGGGAAAGTGGAGCTGGCAACTCTCCAGAGCACACTGCTGAGCTCTGGATTTGACTGAGAGACCCTGCCTCAAACAATCAGGTGGAAGACCATTTTTTGTTTGTTTGGTTTTTGCTTTGTGAGTGCGCGCGCACACACACACTGGTGCGTGCATGCGCACACACATGAAAATAGCAAAAGAAAAGGCAATGTTGTGGTTATACTATTCATTGAATAAATTACTCACCCGCGCCCCCGGCGTGGAAGACTCAGCTCCTTCTGAAATGAGACAAAGAAAGTGGGGTCAACCCAGGAAGTCTCCCCCCCACTACACAGCAATGTCAGCCATGTCGAGACCTGCTCACGCCACACGCCTCGTCCACACCAAAGGTGGCCTGCCACACTGTGAGCAACTTAGGCCTTACTCTCACCTGAGTACTGCTCACCTGGCTCCCAAGCCTGGCCCTGCCAGCGGGGGCGGGGAAGGAGACTATTTAAAATATAGACGAGCCAGCAGGATGGCTCAGTGGGTAAGGGTGCCTGCCCGCCTGACCACCTGAGTTCAATCCCTGGGACCCACACAGAGGAAGGAGTGAACTGACTTTCGTTCGTTGCCCTCAGATCTTCACAAGTGTGCGTGCACACACACAAAAGATAAGTGAGGGCAGGAAAGATGGCTCAGCAGTTAAGAACACTGGCTGTTCTTCCAGAGGACCTGAGTTCAATTCCCAGCCCCCACATGGCAGCTCACAACTGTCTATAACTCCAGGTCCAGGAGATCTGCTGTCATCACACAGACATGTGTGCAGGCAAAACACATACATAGAAAATACATAGAAAGTTCCGGGACAGGCACCAAAGCTACAGAGAAACCCTGTCTCAAAAAACCAAAAAAAAAAAAAAAAAAAAAGAAAATACATAGAAAATAAAGATAAATAGTTTTTAAAAAAAGATAGCGGAAGCCGGGTGGTGGTGGCACACACCTTTAATCCCAGCACTAGGAGGCAGAGGCAGGCGGATCTGAGACCAGCCTGGTCTACAGAGTGGGTTCCAGGACAGTCAAGCTCACACAGAGAAACCCTGTTTTCGAAAAACAAACAAAAAATTGGCTGCCTGTAGTACAGAGAAGGCAAGAGAGAACCCTGGCCTTGGGGTCCACTGGAGCACATACACATGGAAATCTGCATGAGTATTTGTATCATGGCACATTTGTGACAACTTGCAAGAATGGGTTTTTCTTTTCTGGTGTGGATCCCAGAGAAGGAGCCAGGCTGCCAAATGCTGCGGCAGGCGGCTTGACTCTGAGCCAAGTAGCCAACCCTGGCTTTGTTTTCAAAGTACTCTCTGTATGTAGCCCAGGGTGGCTTTGAATTCATGGTGATTCTCCTGCCTCAGCTTCTCAACTGCTGAAAGGACAGACTTGCACTACCAACTGCATCAGGGAGGTTTCCCCTGACTTCCCTGCAGGCCTTGAGATGCTTTAGAGATGCCATGCTGTGGTTTCCCCAGTTGGGATAAGCGTTTAGCATCAGGAAGGCTGCACCAGCAACCAGGGGGCATTACTGTCGGCTGCTCTGACTCCTGTCACTGTTTAATCCAGTCCCGCCCAAGCAGAAACTGCCCATGTCGTGTCTCATTTACCAAGCATCTACTGTACAGGTTGGGAAACTGAGACACGGAGACAGGGTGGGATAGCTGGGAAATGGGCTCTCTAGATGCCCCCAACTCAACAGACAAACTCACTGGGGCGGTCACTTTGGGGACACGGACTATTTTTACATTGGTGGGCTCCAGGCTACCCACGTCCCTAGGCTGGTGTTTGTCATGGCAACCAGTGACATCATCCGTCCCCACAGCCAATTGGAGGGGGGCGAAAACTGCCAGGCGCTGGACCA